GCCTCCAGATATGTCCAGATTAAGAGGTTTGGGGCGGATAATGTCTTCATTATAAGACAAATTTTTACTTATTATCATTTTGGCTGTCCTTTGCACACTTCCTTTCTTAAATGTTTTTTTTTAATACATTTTTGTATTTTTTATATATATAGATCTAAAAACAACTATGATTAGACACAACCCATGATGCAACTGCAAAGAAAGTCGTAAATATAAAACCTTTCATGAGAAAATACAAGTCCCTCTTGAATTTCACAAACAATCCTATTTCAAAAAAAAAAAAAAACGGGTAAAAAAAAAAAAAAAACTGAGAAACTATGTCATTAAACTATATAAATAGCCATGGTCAAATTAATTTTCAGACTTAATTAAGATTTTTCAAAGACATAATTAACAACATGAGATTTAACCAACAATGACCAAATGGTAAAACCAGTCAAGTGTTGTTATCAGCGCTGTTGTTATTAAGTTAGTTTCATTATGGGATCCATCTTAAAAAAAATAACTTTGCATTTATTTCTTTAAGATAAACAGCATTATATTTCTATCATCTGGTGCCAAAGAGCTGCAAACAGTATATAACTCTGCTAATAAGGAATCTGATGGATAGTTCTGTACTTTTACTTTTTTGATATTCAGCTTTATGCTCCATGTTTGTATCTTTATTAACTATATAAATATGAAAGAAAAGATGACTGTTTTGCAGATTATGGATATTAATTTCTAGATTAGCTGAAAAAACAGCCATGTAAAGAGACTTCAGAAAAACATTTGCCTTAAAATGGCATTTTAATTTAACCCTTTGAAATCCATGAAGTTTTAAGAGATAAATAACTGATATAACACTGCTGCCATCCTGTGACTTACTAGTGTTACAGCAGAAGTGTTTACAGATTCAACATTAGGTAATGAGCCAAAAACTCAGTAAATGCAGTACTGTTCACCTGCATGTGAAGAGCTTTGTCTAAGAGTGTAGAGTTTAGCTTAGCTTAGAGCATAATGATCATGGCTTTAACATTACAACATCCTGGTTTGGAAGTGAAATTAGTTTCAATTGGCCCATGGTTGATTTCTACCACTGTAAAGGGCATATGGTCCACCACAAACTTTTGATTTATTTCTATTAATTTATTTTTAGACCCTGGATGAACTAAGGGGTAAGTATGTTGGGGACTCATCGAGTAAACGTGTCAACGGCTTAATTGAACAGTTTCAATTCTCACAGACGGAGAACTGGGAGGTGTGAATTCTGCACAGTGATAATGGCTGCTTGTTGTCATCAGAAAAGGAGAAGCACAGAGCCTCAACAGATTAAAGGTGAAGTTACAGTACTTGCCCAAGTTTTGGCCTTCAGTTTTAATGCCAACATCACAGCAGAAAACTGAATATTTCCGAATCTTCCTGATTGCATAACACAATGCTGAAATAATGCCACAATGAGTAATGTGAGTTTAGTAACCATATTTTTCTTAGTTGTTTTTTTTTTTTTTTTTTTTTTTTTGCCACAGAAGTTTCCTGTTATTTTGCAATCTTATCTGAAAGCCATGTGGTTGAAAACACAGCGGAAAAACCTGACATCAGATTATAAAAGAGCTAAAATGCTGTTAGATATTTTTACTTTAGGTAAAATAGCACACACTGTTAGAAAGAAGAGGGTTTCCTACTGAAAGTGGAAAATGCAGTATCTAAATTTAAACATTTTAAACTGCTCTATGTCATACTGTGCTGTCGTAAATATAAGAAGGTAGTAGTATGCAAAACTTTAGTCCTAGGTGGTACGGAAGACATGGGCCTCAAGACAATGGCCTAATTCATGATGCTGGCATTTTTTTTCTTTATTTAATTTGCCAAAATGTAATATGTGCAGAACATATGCCAACATCTGTAGGATATTTTTTTTTTTTTCACGATTACATTTCAAGGTCCTTTAGAACAAATGTCATGATATTAAAAAGTACAAACATTGTATGCAGCTTTTGTTGGTGTAGAGCTACATTGTCGGTTTTACATAACAAAGTCAGCTCTCTTGGGAAACCCATCTGCAATGGGTGGAATCCAGCTGTCTGGGCGTCCATGAGTCAGAGCCTCATGGCCAGGCCATGAGGAAGTCAAAATACTTCCTCTCCCTCACTACCAGAGTTGTTTTTAAGTGTCTTCTTAAAAAGATGTGCACCTTGCATGGGACCCTATTGTAAGCATCTATTTTCTGAGCATGCCTTAGAAAGGGCGGGTGAGATTCAAAAGGTGTTAAAACCACACTGAAAGACACATTCACAAGATGAAATAGCAGGCAAATAAGAGCTGTTAGTTTTATCAAGTCTACAAGGGATTTATTTGATTATAGTCAAATTAGTTTTTTTAATGTTGAAAATCTGTGGTTTTAATGATGATGAATTAAGGAGGGGTACAGTTAATAGCAGCCAACGTCTCTATTTTTACTGAGAGGATACATGAGTGGGTCCAAAAACATCTGAATGCATAACTCTACACTTAATGGTCTATTTGAATCCGTGAGCTTACTACTGTACAGGCTTCCCCTATTTTAAATGTCTTGCTGTGATTAGATTTAGCCATATTTATTAGTGTTCGGTTCTGGCCTAAGCTATTTCCTACAGTCAGTAAATTTCTTTATACAATCAATGCAACTCAGAGTAGAACAGGAATTGAAGACCCTACATTTACCTGTGTAATAAAAGGGCAATAGAGGTGTTCTTGAAAAATCAAGTTATTTATACTGTTGCTCAGTATATTCAAACTATAAAGAATCGCCATTGACTTAGACTTAGACAACTTTTATTGTAATTTTGTATAATCAGTGTGTATACAAAACAGAATTTAGTTTTTTACAGCTTTTAGAACATTTCCATTCCATTAAGTGCAGCAGTGATCAAATGTAAACAGTGTGGGAGAAGACATGGTGCAAAAAAATGCATTGAAATGGAAGTTCAGAGCATTAAATTAAGTTTTCTCAACAGTTCAGCTGTCTAATGGCAGTGGGGAAGAAACTGCTGGACCTGCATCGAATGCTGCAAAACCTCTTCCCATGAGCAGTGGAGGATGGTTGGGCCAGTTCTTCCTGAAGTCATCAATGATCTCCTTCATCTTCTCCACTTTCAGGATCAGGCTGTTATCTCTGCACCAGCCCACTAGCTGCTCCACCTTCTCTCTGTAGTGCTGGTCAGGGCGTTGTAGTCTATGATTTGCCTTGCTATATCCTCCTGGTGTTGCTGACATCATGGAAGAGATCCTGGATCTTCCAGCTGTGGTTCTGCTTCGCTGATCTGATGGCACGGTTCAAGATGGCACGTGGTGCCCTCTCTCACCAGACTTGAAAGCTGTTTCAGGCCGCTGCCTACAGGCGCCACCATGATTCAACTAATGGTGAATCATGGCTGTAAATAAGTGAACTGGAGGTAAATAAGTATTAGGTCTGACTTATTTCCCTTATGAGGTTTCCTGGCTAATCTGCACACCCAGCAGATCACCCTTTTGTAAAACTTACAGGCTTCTGCATTCGTCTCCACAGCATCTTCCCTGGCAAATGCAGCCCTTAGAAATGTCTTAAGAAGAACTCAAGAACTCTGGGCCTACTTTGAGTGTTTTCTTGCTGTAATGGTATGCAGAAAATTTCTTTGTTGGGTTTTATCTTAAAATCATCAGTTTTTTAATAATTTCAAAAATCTAATCTAAAACTAAATTGAAATCCTAACTAGAAGACATTGAAAGAAAAACTTTAACTTTTTAATCACCAGATGCCACTGAAGATCTGAAATGGTGAGATCTGAAGGAATAATTCTGTAACACATTTTGTATCATTTTAAAATAAAAATGTGGATGGCCCCATATTTCCTCTGTAATCTTAGCAAAACTCTTAATAACTTTAGTACATTTGATCGCTTTTTATACACTTGTGGTAATTTGTAAGCATTTCTCATTTAGCTTATAGGCTTAAAACTCAAGATGTCAGTCAGTGGATCTGTTCCACATATCTGGACGTTCACTTTAAAGGTTGACTGGAGAAAGACATGAGTCACATATTTACTGATTTGAGACTTGACTTGATTATTCAAGAAGACTTGTGACTCAACTTCGACATGAATAGTAACTGCCTCTCGAATATGACCTATTTAATGAAAATGAATAACATTGTTTGTTTCTTCACATCATTAACATTCCAGGGATGAACTATGATGGCTTGGTAATGACATGTAATATAAACATTACTTGGACATAAATGGAACTTTATAGTTATGACATTTCACTCAATATGAGACAGACAATGTCAACATGTGATTTTACCCTAAAGACTTGAGCCTTGATATGCAATGATTTAGTCTCACCTCTGAGCTAAAACATACCCGAATGTGGTAAAGCTTTGCTACTGGCAGGTTTAAAGGTTTCAGTTATATGCTATCTAACCACAAATCTTAAGACATCTACATTAAAAGAAATATTAAACAATTACTTATACGAGGGGGAATTAATGATTTCCAAGCAATGCAAACAAAAAGCACCAAATGATCTGTCTTTGATCGTACCTCTCAGTTCAAATCATCAAAACAGATGGCAGTCTACTTCTGAAGTAAAGGGGAACTTCCCTATTTTTCATTGCATTTCAAGTTGGTGTTATTACACAGTGTTGTGTTAATGTGTTAAAAGATCGTTTTGAAACAATCACACCATCACACTGCAAAAGAACAAAATGTTCTAAGAGAAACTTAAAGTTACTCTAAAAAGTTAACAAAAAAAACAAAAAAATCATTTGGACAGAGTCAGCTTCCTGGCTGAAGCCACATCCTCCTCTCTGAGAACACATGGCACAGCGGGCTGCATGATACCCAGATTTTCTTTCTCTAGATCTGGATCAATGACTGACCACTTCTTCAAAACCACTTGGCTGAGCTGAGTGGCACTAGGCTTTTTTTTTTTATCTACACCAAGCAGTTATTACGTCTAAGGAAAGTAGATAGCATCTTAACAAAAACTCCCAAAAGTGAAAGAGGTGGAGAGTGAGAGAAAAAGAGAGAAAGAGAGAGACACAGATAGAGAGAGAGCTACAGTACTACAGGATATTTTGTCACTATGGTTACTGGCAGCCGATATTAATCTTGATTTCTGAATGTCAAACTGTTTTCACACCAGCGTGAGACTGCTGTGCTGTTGGGCAACTAATTGGAGCTGAACAGCGTTGGACAAATATCCAGTGGATCCATGTGATTTCAGTGAATCTGTAGAGGAGCATTTTCCATCTGTGAGGTAAGCCTTGTGTCAAAACTATATCATTATTACCGTTAAGGTCCAGAAAAAGTCGCTTCCTTTCCTCAAATAAGAACTGGCTCAGTTTGGTAAACCTCTTGTATTTCTTTGTCAAGAAACTACCTAATAGACTGAATGAAACATTAAACATATGCTTTTCTTTATTCCTTTATAAAATATATTTTTTTATTTGTTTTAACTTTTTATACTAAACAATATTTCCCAGACTTTCAACCTTCCCTGTATTTTAAAAGTTCTCAATTGAGCACACAATTCAGGCGGGTAACATCATTTGAGAAACAATGCCATTTCGTCTGCTTCTATATATAGGTCAGGAAGCATATTTCTTCGCTGAACTTTAGAGCAAATATCCTGGTGCTTATTGTTATTCTGGCTGAAACAATGCAACTTTCCAACGTCCTAATTCTCTGCCACCACGCCATGGGGAAGTCAACTTCCTTACCCCCAAGGCCTTGTCACTTAACGCCTTGCTTTTTTGCTGTGTTAACAATGTGGCAGCTGCATGCATAATCATTGTGCATTTACTTTTAACTTCCTTTGAGTCGCATTCTGTGGCAATTAGCGTCAACGACCTTGTATTTGTTCTCTGAGTCAGCCCTGTAAATTAAATGCATCATATTATTTTGGATTTTAAGTCACTGATAATATAACTGTGATCCTCAGTGTTTTAATCCTGTCTATACAGTAGGTAAATTTTTATAGCTACATAAATTGTAAAGAGCCCCTTTTACCCTACAATGAAAAGGGATGTGCTAACTTTAGTAAAAAGAAAAGCACATCACAGTTTAAATTTAATTTGATATTTAACTGTCTTATATGTAGTCATATATAGTCTACTATATATAGTCATCAGATGTGTCAAAAGTACACATATTTGTTACTTAAGTAGAAGTATAGATACTGCAGTTTAAAAACACTCTGGTAAAAGTTGAAGTATCAACTTGACCACTTGCTCAAGTAAAAGTGAAAAAGTATGTGCTCCAAAAACTACTTAAAGTATAAAAGTATTATTTAACCATTTAAAAAAACAGCCAGACGCCAATATATGAATTGCAAGCCCAAGTTTTCGACTATTCCGAAAAATTCTTTGAGATAGAGCCAAGGATGAGGGAGGTCTTGTTGTTCTCTGTCTCCATCTCTCGCCTGTGTCCGACCTTTCAGACATTTAAACATATTTGTCTGAATCTGAATACAATCTGTATCTGAATAGCTACCTAAAAAGTGTACTTAAGTACAGTAACAAAGTATTTGTACTTTGTTACTCGACACCTCTGATAGTCATATATATATGCCCTTGGCAAAATCATACCAACAGATATCTAACTCAAGGTTTTTGTGTTAAAAAAGGAGCCAGAAGATGGCACTGTTCACCAAGAATATACCTTAGAATTGCCAGCAAATTTGTGTTTTTAATCATGCTAATTCCCATGAACTGTTTTTATCAGCCTTTATGTATTACCCTAAACATTCTAAACTTAAATTGTTCAGTAGCAGTTTAAATATTTTTTTTAGTTTTCAATTTCATTTAAATTGTTATCTTTATACTTTATACCATATATATTCATAATATAATCTATTATCCTGCAAAAAAAAAAAAAAAAAAAAAAAAAAAACAGCAAATGATTTAAAATTTCTTGAAAATACTATTTTCCAGTTGTTGTGTCAGAAAAGGAAAAATGAAAAAAAACTTGTGGTTTCTTGACTTCCTTTGCGAGAGCAAAGGTGTTGAATTTGTTAATTTGCATATGTATTCTTGCAGAGGTAGCATAGGGCATTTATATGCATGCTCAGTATTTCACTTTGATTTCGTTATCTGTAGTATAAAGCCTGTTAGAGTAAAAAAAGAAAAGGAAACCTATGTTGATATATTAAAGCCATGATGTTGACAAAAGTCTATTCTTTCTATTGCAGCTACCAGTTCCTGAATCATCCATTCTGGTTCTGCATCTGCATCTGCGCCAACAGACATGGCTGTCTTAGCCAACAACATCACGTGCAACACCCTGTATGACCATAAAAATTATGCTCGGGTCCTCATGCCTCTTTTTTATTGTGTTGTTTTCATTGTTGGGTTGTTGGGCAATGGCCTAGCCCTCTACGTCATCCGTATAAACCTGAAGAAGATGAACTCCACAACTTTATACTCCCTAAACCTCGTCATCTCTGACATCCTCTTCACTCTCTCCTTGCCTCTGAGGATCATCTATTACGCTCAGGGCTTCCACTGGTCTCTTGGTGAGGCCCTCTGTAAGATCTCAGGCTTTGTGTTCTACATCAACACCTACGCCGGGGTCAACTTCATGACCTGCCTCAGTGTGGACCGCTTCATCGCTGTGGTCTTGCCTCTGCGCTTTGCCAAATTCAGGAAAGTCAGTAATGTGCGCTACATCTGCATTGGTGTGTGGATGTTGGTTCTAGCGCAGACCCTCCCCCTCCTTGGAATGGAAATGACCAATATGGAACCTCAGAATTTTACCACTTGTATGGAATACCCTAACTTTGAAAAGGTGGATGGTATTGCTACCATCCTGATTGGTGCAGTCTTTCTAGGTTTTATCATCCCCGTGATCACCATACTGGTCTGTTACTCCTTCTTAAGCACCAAGCTGCACCTCACAGCCAAGAAAAATCACCTGACAGAAAAGTCTGGCCGCAGTCGCAAGGCCATTGGCGTGATCTGCTGCGTGTCTGCAGTGTTTGTGATCTGCTACAGTCCGTACCACATCAACATCCTGCAATACATGATCCGCAAGCTGATATCAGATCCTGGCTGTGTGGAACTCACGGCCTTTCAGATTTCACTTCACATCACGGTCTGTCTAATGAATTTCAACTCCTGCTTGGATCCATTCATTTACTTTTTCGCCTGTAAAGGATACAAAAGGAAACTCCTGAAGTTGCTCAAGAGGCAAGTCAGCATATCTTTCTCCAGTGCAGTCAGGACGTCACCTGAAGGCTCTTCCAAGGACTTCATTGATGGAAACAAGATTCATCTGAACAGCGAGAGAAACAGCAACATGGAAAGGAGATCACATGAGAATGATCAAAGTAAGGAAGTGAGGCAAAATGACAGAACTTATAAATCTGAAAGAAGCTCTTTTCTCATGAACAGTTCCTGATCTAAACTAAAGATGGACAACATGAGGCCAGATCTGAACAAAATGAGGTTAAGCACATTTTTCTGTATTTTGTTTCAACAAGTTAATTTAAACATTTCATGTGTATCTGCATCATAGAATATGATGGATTAATTAATAACTGAGAATGTTGCAGCTATTTAAAAACAAGAGGTTATCCCCTCTCCCGTTAACAACACAATAAAATGCAGATGTGATACAATGCTAACAGGACACCGTATCGACGAATATATTTAATTTAAAATAATTATAGATTAAATTGAAGATACACTGAAGCCTTGTTCTGAATATTTATTATAGCAGTAACCCACCATAAAGTTAGACATTAATTTAAAAGTAATATTTGTAGAGCTGAATTGAAAAAACAGGATTTGAAACAAAAAAAAAACGGAATCAAAGAATGGTTGTGTCCTTCCAATACTTTTTCATTGTGGTTTTCTTGAAAAACAAACTTTAGATAATGATAAAATAAAATTTTTTCATATCTAAAGACATGAAAGCCGTTTTCTTGTCATAACGAGATGCTTGGTGTGTGATAAAACTGATTACATCCTTCAATACCACACAAGCGGGAGAGGATTTATAAGTCATGGTAGCCTATGTATAATTCTGTAAATATTCCTGTGTGAACTTTTAGGTGATGAGACAATGTTTTTGGTTTGATGATTTGCTTCCACCAAGGTGCCGGCCATTTTCTGAACAGTGTTACGCCTGTAAGATGAATTAACCCCCAAAATGAGTCCAGATTAAAGATTTTAATTAAAAACAGTCAGATTTGTTTCTACTGTATTTCATGCAATCCAATCATCCACCAGACCTGATAAAAAGAAAAAAAAAAAAACTGACTATGTGCGCACACGCATTACCAAGACTGCATTGTCTCGACCCGAACCGTCCCAGAAGCATGATCCATCCTGCACATGCAAGAACAAATAACTTCCCGTAATGCAATACTTTGTTTTTCTTACTTTTTATTTGTTTGTCTTTTTTGGGTTCCTTTAAACAATTTCGTATTTTGGTGAATATTGCATATTCTAAAAACAAAATAAAAAAAAATGATACATAAAAACCACTTAAATAGCCTTTCCAACATTACAGTACTGTGACTGCTCCGATCATGTTCGATGATGACGTCACTTAACACAATGGAGAGAACGTAAAAGTCTTCAATATTTTCTATCGTTGTAGTTTAGCATTCTTTAATGTTTTCAGTAACAAGTATTTTCAGTACCATCATTGCATAGTATTCAGCGACCCGGATCTTATTATTCTGTTCGGGTAGTGACATGCACAACCACAGGCACCGCAGGCATGGATGGACTGGGAATCCAGGGCTGTTGGCCAGCCTCATTCATACTTATACATGTCATTATCTCAAGAAATCAATAACTGTTTTCTCATGATAACAAGATAATTACCTTGTTAATTAGAGAAAACAATTAATGGTTTAACTGTGATAAAAAGATACTTATGTCATTATTTCAAGAAGGCAAAGGAAAAAAAAAGTCAAGTACAACCGCTCTCGGCTTCCAGAGACAAAACTTCTTTTGGTAGCTAACAAAAATGGCAAATCAGTCAACTACACATACAAATAGCACAACTGGTGGAGTAGGACACTTGCATAATGGACCTGGAGCTGGCATTTCTGAAACAGCTATCATGATAACATGGCCCAATATGTCTGAGGATTCTTCAACCTATGCTGTACCACAAAGAATAAGTAAGCTCTGAAGGCAAGGAGGGTCAAATCCAGTAATTCACCTTATAAAGTGGCTGGTTAGTCTGCAGTAATTTTTTAAAGCAGTATTTTACTGTTTTTCTTCAATATGGGGTCAGCTGAGACCCTTAGTATATTAATCCTTTTTTTTCTTTTCCAATCTAAATACAAAAACACACCTGAATGAAAGAAGTGTATTACCTTAATTGGTTCATTTTTTATGTGTTTCAGGTGATCATTTGTGCCTTTATTTAGTCCAACCTGAAATACACAAAACAGCTGCAAATAATAATATCACCCATAAATTCAGACCTTAGTTAGTAGCAAGTATAGTGGACAAGTCCATATAAATATGGAAAACCATTAGTGCAGAACCAAAATTGGCAGCTACCTTTGTATATTTCTTGTGTGCAGTTAATCTTTTTTGGGATGAGAATGAAAAGGGTTATCAAACAATGCATAAAAGATATACTGGAAATATATTTTTGATTAAATTTGGCAGTTGTGTCTTATTAAATTGGGCATCTGTCTCTTAAACATAATCTACACTACCTTTCATCCTTCTCCTGATAAGATTATCAGGTTCATAGTGTTTAGTCAATTTAGGGAACTTGCAGACATTTTGTACTTATAACCTTCCCATTCCCCAGCCCAAAACGTGAATGATTTTTTTTCTTATTTGAAAAAAAATCATTCACTGATAAGGGTTCCTCAGTGTAATTCTAAGATGGTTCTTTCTAATCTTTTCCACACAGTATGACTCATTAGCTTCCTCCATAACTTGAATATGTGGTGCAGCAAGATGTTCTCCCAAAGGTTTTTCTCTTTAGACTTTGTAACATTTATGTAGGATGGATAAAAAAAACCTGAAAAACAAAGAATGACATATCCATTATTTAAAGATAATGATGTGTTTTGCCTCTTTTTTTCTTATCTTTGTATATAAATATTGCTGTAATATCTTGCATAAATACTGTTATTTGGCTGTGTTTTTATTTGAAAATGATCTTGAATAAAAGGAATTCATAAACAAAATACCTGTTTTCAGCAATATTTACACAACAAATCAAAGAAATATCACTTGCAATTATCTATGTCAAACCAAACCAATAAGATTTGCTGTTATTATTCTACACACTCTGAATGTTAAAAAGTTCTGAAATCTGGCCCTGTTCCTATCTTTAGTATACCTTATGAATTTGGCCTCAGTACCCATACATGCAGTAGAATCAGAATCAAGTTTATGGCCAAGTAGGTTTGCACTTACGAGGTATTTGACTTGGTGTTGATGGTGGAGAAAAATTAGATATGTATACAGAATACAGGATCTATAGATATATATAATATAAAACATGCAACATACCCAAATAGCTCGAATAGCTCAAATCAGATCTATTTCCATGTGTTAAGCAACAATGCAATAAGTGTATATTCAGCTTATTGCAAATACCTTGATTTGATTATCAGTAATGGATTTCTCATAAGTAAAATTTGTAGTACAGTATGATATTTCTTTTTTAACTTGACAGATTGGCGGAACTAAAAAAAAGTGGTTTTGAAAAAAGCCAGAACTTAAAATATACCGTACCACAGTAGTAACCACGGTGTCTGAAAAAACAACCAGATGTTTAAAGCCTATTGTAAATATGTCATTCCTCAGCTCGTCAAAAAATACATCTATTTCTATATGTCGGTTTAAATGTTGGTTCTGTTTCTCTGATTTGATAAACAATGGATCCTTTTTGCTTCGCAAATATGTTAATCTGGCATGAAATGTTTTTTTGTATTGCATTAACGGTGAGAGGAAGTACAACAGGAACTGGTAAAAATACCAAATAGGTCTAACTGTGGTCTTAGAAAATGGTGACACAAATGGTTTAGTTTTGGGGGAAAAAGCTATGATATCGTTATGTTTATTTTTCAAGATTAGGAAATAATGCATATCTTAAAAAATATGTTGCACATTAATGCTGCAAAAATTTTCAATTTGACAGCCAAGCACCATCTTATTTATTCTTTTGTTGACATCACAGTGACATACAGAGATTTAATCAAAGATAAAGTAACACTATATGATAAAACATTTCTAAAACACTGTGTAAATCATGTGCAAAAGCTTAACCAGTATAACCATAAAAAAAACACCACCCTCCCTCGCAAGACCTTCACATCACACGTCCGAAGGGACAAGCAATCCTCTCTTCCACATTGCTTGGGGACAAAGGCATCACCTCACAGACTTTCATTCCTTTACCAGATTTTTTTTTTTTAATGGCAGCCAAATTATGTTTATTCTTCAACCCTTGCTGAAGTTAAGTGAGCCTGTTGTTAATGTCATAACCAGATTTCCGCGAAAAAGACTTCCTGCAACATTTCTCTCTGAATTTGCAGAAGTGCATTAAAGGGGACAAAGACTGAAACCACAGGAGAAGAAAAGACAAAAGCCTTTGAACTAGGGCATCAAAACAGAGACCCATTCATCCAACATAAGCTTTCCTTAACTTTGAAGATGCCTCGCCCGTCTGAAAAAAAAAGAGACCAGCAGATCTCTGTCTTTGGAAAAGACAGAGATAGTTTAATGGTTTCCAACTAAACAATTTGAGTATTTGAGTATTTTTTGGTCATTTTAATATGCTTACTGTTAAACAAGGCAAGCTAAAAATAAGATTATGGTGACTGGATGTTACCCCAATGCAGACATTTTTTGAGCTGTTCTTTATAAAGCTAAAAAAATAACAACATTCCAACTCTTCAAGAGTAACTTTCATTCTCAAACATAAAATACATGCCAAACTAATATAATTGCATCATCTTATTGATTTATGGTTTTTAACAATTTTCCTTTCTTCTTTGGGTACATAGTAGCTTAACTTAAATGAGTTTTACTAGTTTAGTCAATAATTATTTGCTAAAAATGTTTGACTTGGAGTTGAACAATATTTCTTAATAAATTTTTATATTTTGAAACAACATTTTGAATTTCTTCTATAGGTGTGCAGTTATGTTCTCAGACACTTTCATGTGTTGTCCTCAAGCAAAACCACTTGGGGGGTTTGTTAACAGAACAATACAGGAGGATCCGAAGGTTATTTGATTAAATAAGATATGGAACATATTGAACAGGAAGGTCATGCATACTGTGTGTTTTATGATAGGCCTGTTTAATTATCTAAATGCATATATATATAAGATGCATCACTTTTATCACGTATTTTTTTAAAAATATATCAGGTGTGAAAATATGCAGTCTCTGAGTCACAAGTTATTGGTTGTGGAAACAATATGTCCACAATGGTAGTTGTTAAGTTGTTTGTGGTATGTCTAATCAAGCGTAACACAACATTATTTGCTTGACAAATATTTTAGCCAGAAGTTCTACATTTTATTTAATTTTAAACTTTGACTGAGACGGTTATACTCAACTAAATCCTTTCATTATAGTTTTGGGAGTATGTTGAGGTTATATTGACAGACTCAGGTCAACTCCACACCCCTCCAACTCCATGCAACCTTACACCACAAAATCTGAAGTATTTTCCTCAGAGCTGTTTTGTATTGAATTTCATCTATCTCCGCATTAGCTTCACACATCCTGCCACAGCATCCCTGCAAAATCGTATTGCTTCTATATCTACTTTCTTTCAGATTTTGTTTTGGGGTATCAGAGTAACCAGAGATGACA